ACTGTAACCAGCCAGATAGCTCCTAACAAGCAGCAGGGAGTGACTGCAAACCTATCTCATTCGGAACCTTTCAACTCATCTGCGCGGTCCGGCGTAGGGAAGTAGAGAGAGATCTTTAGCATCTCCTGGTCAGATAAATCCCCTTCTCAGAGGATGGGACGCAGCAACACCTTGAACAACAGAGTGCACCTAGACACTACCAAAGTGAAATTACTGTTATTTTAAACTTTTTGTATGTTCCAACGCAGCAAAAGAGGCTACAACTTCCTTTTCAAGTCATGCCTAGGAGCCTCACCTTATCTTTCTAACGTTTTAACTGTGAAAAGTAAGGCCTCTTCGGGCACTAAAAGAAGGATGAGGTCAGTCTGCAGAGAATTCTCTGCCCCCTTACAAGGGGGTTTTGGATGCCCTGTGCCAGCAGTGCCATCCCAGTTTCAACACACACCACAGCTGCCACGGGTTTGGGTCTGAAATCAGTGCATCAGATCCGAGGCTTCTAGTCCTGCAGCGGCAGAGAGGGAGGGGGAGAGGAGAGGGGCACGCGGGAGTGAGGGGTGAACATGCAGATGCCAAGTTGCTCCTTAAGAGGAGCTTTGTGCAGCAGAAAACAAGATTCCTTCCCACGAAGTTATCTGGTACACATGGGAATTTCAATGCCCTGTTTCACTAAGATTTATTAGGCAGGATATCAAGCCTAGGAAATATGTCCAAAGTAGTATTTTACCATATTTTAGTTACTGCCTTATAAAAGGTTTACTTTGTTACACTAAGCAAATGTTACCAAAATGTAAATAGAAGATTTTTCTTCAGATGCTGTCCAGAGTAGACTGCATCTCAACTAGAACAGCCTAAGAGCTTGCCAGGTTAATGTACGTGATCCATTCGAAGATCAAGTGTTAATATCCGTGTTTAGTACCCAGTCAGCTAAAGCGTACCTGAGCCTCATGGAACACCTCAGAGAGGAAACCCAGATGACTTTCTGGGAGGAGAAATCCTCCCTGTCCATATGGTGCAGACCACCTCTCTTCACTAGTGGGCCCCATCCAAGCAGCTGGTGCCACTGAAGCCACAATGTAAGAAAATATGAGAACTTTACTCAAAAATATGAGAACTATTGACTACCAGCCTGGTAACTGTGCAGACCACAACAGAACACGTATTTCTTATAGTCTAGCGGTCAAGTCTGCAAAATAAGAACACTGCCCTCCCTCTTATCAACAGTTCTGAACTGCCACAAGCTTTGACGCCCATTTTCTTCCATGGGGACAACAGAGCTTTCCAAAAGACGATGTGCTCTGTAGCTTTTGCTAGCACCTTTCGGAGTAACAGGAACACTGTAAGCCTTCTAAAAAAATCTAAGATTTTGTAAGATGTTGATAACAGCAGACATTGATATGGCTGACATAAATGTGTCACTGTTAACAAGATCTTAATCCTATAGACTGACTAGCCTATGCCAAACTTTGCAACAAAAAGGTAAAAGAAAATTAAAGGTGCAGGAAGTTACAATCTAACTTTCTTGGCTTGAAACCTCCGTTTTATCTACTCCCAGTAAAAGCAGAAAACATGCTACAGCAGTGATTTTTCGATGTCTCAATTCCAATTTCAATGTAAGAACACTCATGAGCGAGCAAGCTCAGGAAAGCTGCTGCCATCAAAACCATCTACCTGCTCAAGCATGAAGTCACCAAAAGATACTCAGTATACAAAGCAGCATCCCCTGAGGTCAAGCACCCGGGCTCCAGATCAAACCACCCTTGCAGGTGGTTTTCCACCAATTCCAGTGTACGTCCCCTGCTGAGGTCACCTCGTGCAAGTGGCAGCAAGGCTCTGCTGGACTGCCAAGACATCTGTCGGTGAAGAAAGTGTGCGGGGAAGGACCGGAGTCTCCATCACTGGGTCATCCAGCGATGATGCCCAGCCCAGCACAGAGCCTCCTTCCAAGACGGTGCTCACAAACACCTTCCAGAGCTGTTTTCTAATTGCTCTCTCCGAGGTGCACGTCTAGTGGTTCATTTTAGCATGAAGGTTTGGTCCCCGTATTCAACAGCACACCAGTGTTCAAGTTTGCAAGCTCGGACTGGCAGACACATGTTAAGCAACTCACTGGTTTGGGCAGTATAATCTAAGTGTTGTCCAGGCTAAGATTTTCATAATCCATATGTTATACTGTCATGCCTGACAGGTATGGATTCATAAACTGAAGAATAAAATTCCTGAAAGGACTTAACTAGTTGTAATCCCTACCCTATGCATTAATATGGAAGGAAAAAGAAACAAACCCCACAGTCACCAAGAAAAAAAATCAAAAAATAGAGTTAACATTTCTAGAGTCCTAAAATGTTTCTTAATTCTCACGTACTCTGCGGGTAATTCAGTGCTGAGGTCTAATCTACTTTTGTTTTTCTCTCGGCCTCCAAAGAGATCAATTCTACATGCTGGTTATTACTTACATCTTAAATGTTTCCCAATTATATATTTAAAAATATTTTAAATTAAATTATATTATATTCTAAAATTTAATTTAATATTAACTAAACGTTACCTTTCTCCCCTTTATTAAAAGGATCTTTACTATTCCAAATAGTCTTAGAGCTAAGACCCCTGTGCTGGATGCCAGGAGATGTAGGTTTGATTCCCAGCTCAGCTACAGATTTACTCAGTGACCCGGGCCAAGTTAATTCTCCTGCATCTTAATTCTCCTCTTCTCTGGAACACGGATCGTACTCTCTTCCCCCATCATCCTGCCTTTCCCACATAAGACAACGAAGCATTTAAAACACCCAAGAGGAGGGCTTTCACTTCAGTTGAAACCGCAGTCCTTTTCGTGCATGGCTCATACGTACCATGAGGTAGTATGGCAGAAATTCACATCCAGGCTTTCAAATATATTAAGATATAATAGATACTAAGTTTCTCATCCTCTATCAAAGTACAAATGTCTACATTACTTCAAATTTCAAAGGCAAAGGCCTAACTCTTCTGGAAGAGAGGCTTTCCGTTCCTAAGACTAACCTTACATCCAGAGTTTCCAAGCCTGTTTGCTAGGGCTCAACTTCCAAGCATAATTCATTTACGAACTGCAGCTACATTGAAGTCAAGGCAACCATAGCTGCAAATACATCTAATCCAGCCATAGTTAAATTACAAAACTGTAGGAGAACAGAAGTACCAGAATGTGCTAGTGTTATATATGCAAGTGTAGTATATTTGCTCCTTCCATCTCTTTGGGCTTCGCTGGGAAGTGTAACTATTGATACAGCCTGGATGATTGCTAGTGTCACTACATGTAGAAATAGAGAATAGGTTCACTACTTAATTTCTTACAAAATGTGAGAGTCATTCAAAAAGTCACAGCACATTTCAGTTCCATCTCAGTATTGGTAAGCTCAGCTCAGAGATGATCACACATGTCAGACTATACTCAGAGCCCTTCTTGTTCCAAAGGACAAGACAGACAACGGCAAACACAAGCAGCATGCAAAACACACGGAGTCCCGGCTCATGAAACAAAGTTGGTATGTTCCATTTCATCTTTACTAATGATCTGTAGTGACTACAACTATTGAGAACACTGAACTGCCCTATTTCTTTCTGCCAGCTGTAGTGGAACCTGACAAACAGAATATTGAAACTTCCTTTGCTCTACTTCCACCTATATAAGTTATGTTTCAGTTTTTCTAGAATGTTAACATTGAGTCCAAGTCAACAGTCTTCTGCCTCTTCCAAAACGAAATAAAATCCTTCACCTAATGCACTGGTATCTAATCAGACAGCACATACAGACAAAACTACTACGCAACAAAAAGGCATTGTGTTAACACAAATCTGCATTCTAATTTCTTTGTTAAACAATCACATGTTGTCTTATGATACAGTTCTTCAGTGAAGTACACACTGAGGAGTTTCGAGTTTCCTCATCTTATGTTTCTTTAACTTAACAGGACACTGTCCTCCTCCCTCATCTGTAGTTTTTACACTTCCATCTCCCCTCCACATCCCGCCTTACTTCCTCCCCTCCAGCCTGAGCACAAGGGGTTGTCCCAGCCCCTTCTGAGCATCCTCCTGCCAGAACTAGCCAGGTGGCCCTCCACCAAAGTATTCCGGGTTCACCAGTGCCACTGCTGTACCATGGAGCCCCAACCCAGGCACAGCGTGCGAAATGCAGCTTCACGAGCACCGAACAGCACAGTCACCTCCCGTGACCAGCTACCTTCTTTCTGATACAGCCCAGCGTGTGTCCTGTTTGGTGAAGCCTCCTGAAGCTACAAACAAAAGTTAATGTTCTCTTCTCCATCTTAATGAAAACATTTGTTCACCTTTTATTTTGAAATTCTTCCCTCCTGCAGGGTCTTACTAGAAGGGTTTGCATTAAAATCAATAAATACCGTGCAATTCATTTAAGACCCAGAACTCCACTTTGCATACGCCAACGCTGATCCCCACAGCACCACAGCTGGGATGCACTGTCCCTGTTTTAACACTCCCAGAGACTGCGACCAGCAGCGAGTCCCAGGGAAGGGCAGTGCGGCACGCAGGCACAGTGAGTACCCGGCTCGGCTGGCACCGCAGCCTGCTGCGCTGTGCCAGTGGCTCGGGCACAGCAGCTCCTGAGCGACAGCGTGGCCCTTGCCCCACACATGTCCTGACTAATGATAGCACTGAAACATGCATAATGTCAAATGCTGAGGCAGAATATTGGTCATAAAACATCTTCTGGAAATGACAAAGTTCCACAGCAGCCTTTCTCTGAACCCAACAAGAGCTGTCAGCTCAGTTCACTTCTTCAGGTGGGTAAACTTTAATTCGACACAGAGAGAGCTGTGGGCACTGGCAAGGCCGTCCATGCAGAGACAGAGTCCCTTCACCTTCCCTACTAAATTTGAGGAGCCAACTAAACTCATGACACACACAGCAAGAGAAAGTGGAACGAAACATGTTGCACCCTTGTTTCTATAGCCTCACATCTAAAACTGGCCCTGTGCCGTTTTGTTGCAGACATGGCAGAGCCCATTCAGCAGCTGACGAGGAATAACAGCCCCCAGGAGAGACAGACCATCCCCTTCACTCTGATCCAGCGCAAAGAAAAGGTACCGCCTCCCTTAATTTAACAAAAACCCCTCATATTTTGACACTTGAAATAAAACGCCCATTTTCTTCATTTAAATCAATGCATTTGCTTCTTTACACAATCCTGTTAATAAACCTTAGCAAAGAATACTTTAAAGAGATTAATATGTAAATTTAAACCCAAACATGTACTATTGTATCATGGGTCATAATCAAACAGAGCAGCAATCTCCAACCCATCTTATCAAAGCCACCTTATGCTCGAATGAAAAATTGAAACTGATGTCCAGCAAACTGCTTACAGCTCAGGAAACGTACAAACAAATGTCTAACCTTAAATACATGACCAATCAAGAAAATCTTTACTAACCATGCATGAAAAATTCTTGTCACATTTCTTTAAAATAGATCTATACAATTCAAATTTTAAAATATCTCAATATGATCAAGTGTATTTCATCTACAAAGTTTGGGACTCCTGGCTATTTACGTTGTAATTAAATACTTGAAAGTAATTTCTCAGTACTACTTTATTAACTGCAGATAAATAATAAGGTTATCCACTGCTATTTGCAACTAAATGTTTAATACTGCAAGTCCAAAAGATGACAGTTCCTTATTTTAAAGGAAAACTACCTAGAAGCCTGCTGAAACAAATTTTGGTCCAAGATCAGCCACATATCCCTTCTCGATTTCCATGAGGAAGGATTAAAATTCACACATTCCTTTCAAACTCATTTCACTGGCAGCTGAAAACAAGATGCAATTATTCTTACACTGCAGACAGATGCATGCCCTGCATTTGTTTTGGATATCTGTTTATCATATCCTGGACCTTGAAATGAAGCACATCTGAGCTAAGTATTAAACAGAACGAGCTTAGGGTAGAGCTGACACTTAAAATCATTCCTCATGCTCACCGTTCTCCCGGCCACACACCTAGAGAAGGGCATTTCTTTATGCTTCAGGTAAATCAGTGAAATATTGCTTGACTTTTGTTTGCTTGGGTTTGTTTGGGTTTTTTTAGGGGATTAACTTAAAATACAAAATTATTATTTTGTGTTTGCAGCTTGGAGATCTGCTTTACGAGAAACGTCAGTATGGAAAAGCCAAATGGGCTTGTATAAAAATGCAAGAAAAGCAATACGAGCAGAGCATTTGCCTCGGATTCATGAAGCTCATGAGGTACATTTGTGAGCAGAACTCCTCAGGTAATTGGTACCGCAGTTCTACGTTAAAAGTTAAAACGCTGTATTTATGCACCAGCTCCTCCTAATCAGGGAGATGCTTTTATCAGCTTTTTCCAGATACTCCACCCTGTCCATAGGGACGTTTCCCTGGCAAACAGCCTTCCCAGCAGAGGAACTGGGAGCACCAAAGTGCTGCTCCCCCTGCACACACGCTAGAAGAGAACATCTGCAGGAAGCGCTCCCTGTTTCCAAGGGCGTTCTGGCCACTACAGCTGCCTGGGAATTGGCTTTTTTTGTAAGCTATCAGCTATAAATGAGGCTTTTCCTACAGAATTTTAGCGGGATGGTTTCCACAGCAGTACTGAAATTGCGTGTCCTAAGAACCTACTGAAAGCGTAACGCCAAAGGGACCACAGTGTTTTGCCTCCTTTGTTTGAGTTCGTGATGCTCAACTTGCACTGGCCTGAACAGACATCACAAATTCATGTGGGTGAAGCACATTTTCCAGAAAGATAATCCAGTTTGAACTCAATTACTTTAAAATAACGGCAAATCCACCATGTCCTTGATAACTTGTGCCTGCACGAAAAATGAGCACCTAGTTTCCAATCCAATTTAATCCCGTTTCAGTTCTCATTTTTTCACTCGTGAGTTGATGAAAATGTTTTGCAGTGCCCAGTGTTTTCTTCTGTAACAGTACATATGTTGGAACGAAGTCAGTCCTGAATTTTCTTTCCAATAACCTGAAAACATCGATCTTGAAAGCTTTTCCTTAACCAGGTCTTTTCCCCAATCTCTCCATTCTTTTGACATGGTTTAAAGGTAATTTTGGCTCCAGAACAGGGCGGGTTTGTTTTCAAAGTGTACAGAGGCAAAGCTCCCACTCCCAGTCACCACTGCTACCTGCACGGTCGGAATCACAACCTTTCCCTATAGCACTGCACGAACATAGCAAGATGTTTGAGAAGAGCAAATCCCAAATGAATTCGCAATGCAGCCTCCTTGTCTTTCCTCCACGGTTTGTTCCCAAGTATTTAAAGCATTACGCAAGGTCAGTTTTCAAGATAAATGGGGAAAGACGTTAAGTCAAACTCTTTGTCCTACAGGAAGATAGGGGAGCTCACCAAATACCACATTTTAGACACAGATGTACAGGTATATCCCCGATATCCCTGTTCCTTGCAGGGGGGTTGGACTAGATGACCTTTGAAGGTCCCTTCCAGCCCTAACCATTCTATGATTCTAGGTATGTAGGTTTTAGAAATGTATGTGTGTATACAAGGCATAATAAAATGCTACTTCCAACTTGGAACACACAGCCCCATTTTCTAAAACATCCTACTGAATTCCTTTTAGTAACTAAACTCTGCTTTGTGGTACTCACTTTCTGTTATTCAGTACGGGTTCAGAAGCCAAGCACAGTATGTAGACCTCGTGTTTTATTTTCTAAAAAGTCATGTCTGTCTCCTCAGGACTGTACTTGGGGATAACCATTCCCATTGTGACCATAGTCCACACAAACGAGTCCCAGTCGGAGATGAGCCAGTCAGTGACAGTAGCGTACTACCTGCCTGAAGTGCTGCAGGATGAGCCACCTCATCCTTTTGACTCCGACATAATCATTGAAGAATGGCCTTCTACTATCGTTTATAGTAGGTAAGAAACATTTTAATTTTGTTCTAGTAAAAACGGTAAAAAGATGCAGTTTTCAATTTGGGCATGTTACATCTTTTAAACTGAGTTCTAAAGTCTAACAAACAGTAAAGCTTGATTTCCAGTAATTGTTAAAAGCTGCTTGCTTTATCAAACTGGGATATTCGGGACCTAATCACTCCCAACTTAACTGGGAAAATGCTGTATCTGTAAATGTGAGATACAACAGCATCCCAGAACACACACTAGTCTGTGTAGTTGGGAACAAAGTGACTTATCACTGAAAATGTTAAGAAAAAACTTAGCTGTTTGAGATCAATCACAGTCAGGTAGTAACATTTGCAAAACATGACTAAATAATTTAGAAGGAGGCATTTCTAGGCTCTGGAAAAACTGTGGATTTTAAAAAGAAGTCGATTGTTACAGGAGCTTCAGAGGAATCACCAACGAAGACTCTATAATGAGAGAAATAAACCTGTTGGCGGAAATTCTGGAGAGTCCCGAGTTATATTTGCAGGATACATTCATCATTGCAGGATACACAAACCCAGCGGCTGCCAATCGACACAACGAGATATGGTTCCTCCAGAGACCATAACCTCCCATTTCTGATGCTTCTCAGTTCTGATTTACTGGCAGAACCTCACAGGTGAATCACGTGAGACTAGATGTCAAACCCTCAAAGATTTTAGAAACAAACGTGGCTTTTAACCAGTCTGGCAAGGCAACTGCTCCCATGTAATCATCAAACAGAGGTAACACGGGAAACACACACAGTTTTTACACAGTTTTTATGGAGACTTTTAGCACTTTGAAAGTTAGCTCACCTGACCCTTTTTTTTTACAAGATAAAGGAGGCAGAGACCTCTCCCTTCACCCATTTACTGGCATCTCTAGACTGCTCGTGGCTCGGCACGGTCCTGGGGAGATCCCGGAGCCCTCCATCAGCTACACAAAGGCCCTGCTGGGACTTTCGGTGGGATACATGGTAAAACCACCTCACACATTGGGGCTATGCTTCAGAAAAAGAATGCTCAGGTCTTAATTTCTGATGAGAGCTACCAGATGTAGACCACTGGGATTAAACCAAGGAGTAAGAGCAGGCCAGTGCTGACTGCGTTTAATGCCACGATCTGTGGAGCAGATCCTTAATGCTTACCTCAAAAAGCATTCAACCAAAGTCCTTTTAACCTTGAGCAGAGACCAAGAAGGCAGAACAGTCCTAATGCTCATTAAAGTTTGGATAGCAAAAATTACAGCTTACTTTAATCACACACTCATAGTAATCTCCCGACTATGTTTGGCATTCCTAAATAGAAAGTGGTTATTCTTAACTCTTCAGCTTTCTAAACTCTTTCTCCTTACAACTTTGCTGAATGTTAAAATACCACAGCTGAAGTAATTAATCTGTTCAGCAGTTTTTACACCCTTCTGGCCTGTAACTCCTCTGGGTCCTGTTCCAGTATTTGACCACTCTCACTGTGAGAATTTTTCTTCCTAATATCTAGTTTTCCATGTTGCAGTTGTTTCTTTTACCCCTCATCCACACGATAACTCCTCAAGCAGACAACTGCTAGTCCAAAGGCTGTGATGGAGAGACAAGCTGCCGTAGCTCTGTGTGCACCAGAAGGTCTGAAAGCAGCGCTCACGCTTTGCTGTTCGCTGCAGTTAAAGAGCTCTTTAGAACCAGGGTAGCCAACAGTTCTGCTCTCAAAATCCCTTCGTGATGTCTCCCCTCAGGTACGATGGTAGAGTTTAACCTTGACACTTAATAGAGGTAAATGTCTTCTTACGTAAAATTTCATTCAGGATATCACATTGTTTATTGATTACAGGACTTACTTTAAATAGAGCTCTTGTGTTCTCCAGTTACAACACACGGAATGGTGACCAGAGCCAGTGTCTGCCAGCTTAGGGCAGAGTTAACTGGCAAACAAAATGGATTTATGCAGTACTTCTGAATAAACATACAGGTCTCCAGAACTTTAAGCCTCCTGGTTCCTCAAGGCTCTCTGCTGCACAAAACTGACTTCACACTTAACCTAAAGCCTGTTGCTGAACAGCAGGATCAGAGAGTGCCTGCTGGCTCTGGCTGACCTTGTCTAAGCACCAGAAAGGTGCTCGCTGGTAGTTGCTGCCCACAGAGATTCCTTGGGGAAACAGCAAGAGGGAGAGAAAAAAAAGAGAGAGAAAAGCCTTAGTTTTAACACAAACAAACTGATAGTCTTTGTGGGGAGAAGAAAAAAAAAAATAAATCCTCACTTTCTTCTTCTGAATGTCTGATGTCCCCAGCTGTTCAGATATCCAGAACAGCCATTTGTATTGCCACAAATTTACTGGATGTTAAACTGATGGGGGAAGAATCTCAAGACTTGGGTTGGAGATCTTTCCTGTTCCAACCAGAAAGCTACCAAATCCAGTTTGCCAGGCAACAGCACACATGCTTGTGCCAGCTGTGGTCACATTTTGTCTGATGTGCCAATTTAAATGCACATCAAAGTATTCCTTACTTAACAGAACAAGATGATGAAGGTACCTGTCATGTCTTTTATTCCTTTCAAGTCATTCAAGACAAAGGATCATATCCAGGGGAAAAAAAAAAAATACACATAATCAGATTTCCTTTTCAATAGGTTGAACTGTTTCCTGTTTGATTTTTATGTATTGTGCTTTTTATTTATTTTTAACATTTCCTTAGATTGTTGGAAATGCCAGCCAGTATTAAAGTGAAAGCTAACAAATTAACGGAAAAAATAAAAAGCTTTTAAAAACGGAGTGCAGTAGAGGGCCCAAGGAGGCATTAAATAACAGGTTTTCTTTTGTCTTCACCCCCCACTCCGAGATTTTTATAAGAGCAAATGAAAACAATTTTCACCTTTGACAAGGTTTTATGGCAAATCAAAGAAGTTTCTGCAATTTGATTGCGTTTGTCAGGTATAGAAATTATACTAATGCTTTGACACAACGAATGTCCAATAGCTATTGGAAGCAGTTAAATCCTCTCACCATAAAGCACCAGTTTGTACATACTTTACATTTTAAACACCTGTTGCAAACAGCATTTGCTATATCCCATGTCTCTTTCCATAGGCCATCCTCACCTAAACACTTCTGTGACTCAGCTACTTTTGGGTATGTTAGAGAAACATTCTTGCTACTGAAACATAAAAATAAGGTATTTATCTGCTGAATGTGCTGATAGCCTAACTGCAGCTAAGTGTTCAGTGTTGTTTCGTGTGAAACTGTGAATTCCAAGATAGTGTTTGTTTTGACTTATGGTAGAAGGCTTCTGCTGCTAAGAAAGAACCCATTAATCTCGAGTTCCAAGGTACACTTTATGGCTCTGGAACATTGCACCAACTGCTGCAAACAGCCCTCACAAGCACAGGCACAAGCGTTTTTCCACTCACACACAAAAAAGTTTGCTTCATGGTTACACCAGAATGCCAAGGAAACGTTACCATTGCTCGAATACATCACTTCAGAAAGTTTGGAAACATTATGTCAAGCGTGAGTACCTAACTCCTGCTATCAGAATAGCTATTTTTATTGTCCCTCTGTGGCTCCACTTGGTTAGTCACTAATTAAGAGATTTTTATTTTTAATTCAAAGTTACTAGACTTCCACTGTTCAAAGGAGATGGTAAAACAGAATTTACCCGTATTTTTTTAAGATTAAATGATGTAGCCTTAATAGATAAATGTAGTCCCGCATACCGTGTATTTTTTGAACAAGCATTAGTGCCTAAGAAGTTTATTCCAGCTATTGTGATACTCAGGGCCTTGCTTATTGTACGCATACAAATACAAACATAATTTTTCCAGCACCGTTGCGTTATGCTATCTTACGCTGTCCTTCACTTTCACTGAAATGTTGTCTTGTTTACTGCTACTGTTTGTGAAAATTAAAGATTTTATTGTGCAGAGTACGCTTGGCTTTCATGGTTGTAACAGACGTGCAAGCCCTTTTGCTGTCCTTCCTTTGAATGGGAACAGCAGAACTCACAAGTCGGTGTTCTGATTTTACAAAAGCCATTTAACCCTCAAACGTGAAATGGTTGCTCTAAGACCCAAACACCCTAAATAACTTTCAAAGAGTATACATCATGTGAAACCAACAGGTACGTTTGGAGCTCTGCACCTAGGTGCTGCAGCCAGCAGGTCTGCCAGCAAACTCCTCCTCCTCACTGCAAAAGCCATCCACAACCCCGCTTTCGTCAAGTGCCCAGCACAGCCCCCCCAGTTCCTACTGCAGCACAGACTGGGGCAGGACTTGAGAACCAAACTGCAGAGAAGCAGTTCTTAAAGTGACACAGGTACTTGAGTTTTCTCCTAAATCCTGATGCCACTCAGAGCACAGCTCACAACTGATTCTTCTGGCAGGGGACAAGGATGACACACCAGGTACTTGCTGCTCCTGGGGCTGCACTCCCGTGTCTATCCTGATCTCAGACTGCTCAGAAGCCAGAACAGGAGTAGGGCAATCAGTGCAATTTGACTGCAGGGCATAGCCAAGGTCCACCACTGCGCTGCGGAAAACCGCAACTACAGCAACACCTCTGCAGAAACCGAGGTACAGGAGCTGCTTTGGAAAGTGCTGAGGTCTCCAATATTAAGGCTTGGCTTGCCCACAAACACTGGAGAAGGCTGGGGCACCATCCTTTCACACCCCGGTGTTGTTAGAAGTTGTCTTTTCTAAATAAAACCAGCAGCAATACAAATGCAAATACCAGCTCAAAGAAAGGAAATAGAAACCACTGAAGCCACAGCTACAACTGAGTCAAGGTTTGTTTCACTCCTCAATTACACCAGATCAGCCAACCCTATGTGCTTATTTCAGCTTATATCTCTACTGAGACACCTAAAATTAAATCCCTCAACTCCATACCAACATTCAGAAGCGCCTGTAGTGATGCAAAACTACTTTTAAAGTTCTTGCTAGCTTATCAGTGGAACTTCCTCATTTAAATACACTCTCAGGTTACTGGTTTGAAAAAAGCTGATCTAATTCAACCCAGAAAATGACAAACACATAAACTATAACAAAATCATGAAACTTTCACCAAAAACATAGTATAGGTGTTAGCCTTAGAATAACTGAATCTCAGTTTCTTTTTGTCTCTTACCAAAGCAAGAACATACATTTTGAACTTTTCAAAGTGGTATCTTACATAATATCATTTGTCTACTAGTACCTTACTGAGAAGGCACAGACCATTAAGCCATCATCGACTGACCAACAGTTCTGGTTCCTGCTAATCTGTCCTATATTCAGACACTACCTACTGGTAAATAACAAAAAGAAAAAAGTTCTCAAGAGAAAAAATTAAAAAAAACACAACTGCCAAACAACAAAACAAACAAACAAAAAAATCAAGGAGAACTAAGTACACTTACAGGTGACTTCAAGCTCTAAAGAATACTCTTAACTAGAGAAAATGTTTCCATCAATATACAGTTTTCATAAGGCTGGCAAAAACTGGACAAAACAGGCACGGCCATTCTCAACATCTTACTACGACTAAATTCAGCCAAATTAAGCAGCCCTCAGTTTAGGTCTAACGTCAATTCTGCAAGGACTGCTGAAAGAGGATGAGAA